GCTCGTTAATTATAGCAAAATCCAGAGTAACTTCATTGAACGCAATCACGATCCCACGAGGCGAGCTCGTCGCCGCCGTGTTATGCGCCCGTTTGGTCGACGCGAATTGAGACTGACAATAAACGCTACGTACTATTGGACGGACTCCATGATTGTGCTTCACAGTATAAAAAATCGATCAAAACGGTTTCCAACGTTCGTGGCAAATCGGCTGGCTCAGATACATGAACTTACCCAAGTCCATGAATGGCGGCACGTGAATTCCAAGGAAAACCCTGCCGACCTCGCTTCAAGAGGAATCTTACCGACGGACAGCCATAAAATATCGAGTTGGTTTGGGGGTCCATCATTCCTCAAGAGAACCGACGAAATTTGGTCTACGAAGGGCGAGAATGTATCACTATCTGATAACCTGCCAACAGTATGCCCAGTTTCCTTGCTAACGAGTGATCAATGTCCCTTCTTGTCGAAGTTTTCTCATGTAACTGATTGGATAAAAATGAAGAAACACTTCGCTTGGCTCTCTCTGTTCAAAATGTACATATCTTCGAAGCTCGATCGACGGTCAGTATGTCCAAGTGGAAGGTTGTCGGTTTCGGATTTGTTACGTGCAGAAACGGATATTGTTAAACTGGTGCAAGGTCGAGTATTCGAACACGAGATCAAAACGTTGCGGAGAAATACCGCGCAGGACAGCTCTAAATCAACGATGGCACTATTAAGAACCTCGCCATTTCGTAATTTAGCCCCCGTGTTAACGGATGGGGTTCTACGTATTAGCGGAAGGTTACGTTTCGCACCCCTTCCCTTCGAGATGAGACATCCAATGTTAATACCATCTGGCCATTTTGTGGCTAAATTGATCATTAAACACGCACACCATATGGATGGACATTGTGGATTAGAACAAACTATATCAGGCCTGCGGAGAAAATTCTGGGTTGTGAAAGCGCGAAGTAATGTTCGTAAGGTCCTACGCGACTGCTTCCACTGCAAACGTTGGGTTTCGCGCCCTTGCCAACAGGCGATGGCTCCGGTGCCCCTGGATAGGCTAGCAATGTATGAACCACCCTTTGCCATCACCGGAGTCGATTATTTCGAACCCTTTCAAGTGAAGAGAGGTCGTGGTACGGAAAAGCGATGCGGTTGTATCTTTACATGTTTTACGATGCGGGCCGTGCATATAGAAGTTGATCACAGTATGAATACGGACTCGTTTCTGTGTGCTTACGCTAGATTCAGCTCTAGAAGAGGGAATCCACGGAAACTGTACAGCGATAACGGGCTTAATTTTCGAGGAGCAGAAGAAATCATCAGAAAATCGATCAAGTCCTGGAACCAATCAAAGATCACAGATGAGTTACTACTGTCCAAAGAGTGTGAATGGTCATTTAATCCGCCGAAGGCCAGCCATTGGGTTGGGGTTTGGGAAAGACTTATCCGTTCGGTTAGAAGAGCAATGCTATTGACGCTTGTAACCGATGAGGTTCTCACCACAACGATGACACAAATAGAACGTATTCTCAACGATAGGCCGCTAATGCGACATACAGCTAGATCGGACGAGTTCGCGACACTCATCCCCAACATGTTGTTCACGCCAAAGTGTTCTGTGTTACCATCTGAGGAGCGTTGCGACGCAACAAGATTGAACAAATCCTGGAGAAGAACTGTCCAGTTATCGACTGAATTTTGGAATGCGTGGATAAAACTTTATCTTCCCACCTTAAATGCAACACAAAAATGGAAGAGGGAAAGACGTAACCTGGGGATCGGCGATCTAGTGCTCCTAATGGACAGCAAGGTTCCACGAGGGCGTTGGCCCAAAGCTATCGTTGAGGTGGTACGCCCTGGCGTAGACGGTTTAGTTCGAGAGGTCATCGTACAGACAAGCACAAATAGATTTCGACGAGACATCAGGAATCTATGTTTACTGGAAGCCAAGTTTTATGAAAGTTCAGAGCAGGACAGCTCAGGGCGGGGAGTGTAAACTCAAAGATTTACGTGGTGGCCCTGGTGAACCTTTAGTCAGCGGCCGATACGCTTCCCGATCGGGTTCTATCACACTCCACACACACATCTGCCCATCCTACACACGTGTTCACATTCGTTGATTCAGTCGTGTGACACACAACACATATGCACGCACACCGTGACAATGCTTATCAGTCATGCGACGCCGACAATGCAACCAGTCATATGACCAGACACGTACTTACCGCGCCTGTCACCTCACCGCTCTGACCCATTTGCGCATTCATGATCCTAGCTAATCGATGTGCTGGACCTTGTGACATTAGCCCGTTAGTCTGGGTGATTAGGGTCCCACACAATCGATTGCGCACCGGACTATCACGTACGACCTCTGTGGATTATATCACGTTGTTTATTTACGCGGACTCGGGAAATCCTGATGTGAGTATTTACCCCTCTCACTATCGATGTATGCCAATGGCCTATTTACGTGTATTAAATGTTAGTTATTTCTTTCTTACAGAACCGCATTGATATTCATATCCCGTACGATAAGGTGCTCACGTTTTGCTCAACTCAACTGGGATTGTGAATAATAAGGCGAGTAATCAGACCGAGATAAGATTTACGTTAAAGGAGATCCACGGAGCTTACAGCCTCTGCTCAGGAAGCCCTACTCACTGCTTTCTCGTGGCGGAGGTTTTTCCACCAAAGTGAGAGGGCGAAAAGCTGACATCCGGGGCTATGACCGGGTTGGTGAACCATTGGTAGTTCACCTAAGGGAGTTGGCCAAAAACCCTGATTCCAAACCAACCATGAGGAGGCGTGCGAACCACCCATACCTTTCTGGTCATGACACGGGTCGCCGGCTCGATTTAGCATCGAGGTGTATTGGGCACCTTGGACGTTTGACCCCGTCCAAAGGATGGTATGATCCGATGAACAGGATACCGGCCCCCAATTGATTGCGGACTCTGAATTCGGTCCTGCTGTCTTGCAGTTCTAGCTTTCTATCCAAAGGCTTCGTGTGGGGACCCCTAGGCCGTCCCCCTTCCTCAACCAAGGCAACTGGAAAGTGACATGCTCACACAACCCATGAACACATTCTTCAAAGTTCTTTCTGTTCGTATATTGTGGCACATTTGCCGGTTCTCTGTGATTGGATACGTGTTGAGTAATAAAAATATATAGTCCCGGATATCGGTTTTTCGTCCTCTCACTTTGGTAGGAAAACATTTCCACCACGAGATCGCAGTGAGTAGGGTTTCTTCAGCAGAGACTTTTTGAGGCGCTTGGTCGTGTTGGATCCTTGTGTGAGGTGCAAGTGAAGGGTGATCAACTACAACCCCGCCCCGACCACACTGAGGCTTTTCATGGTAAGCCCCAAGCCTGCCTCTTGGAATACATCCTATTTCATACAACACACCTACTATGCAGTCTGCTTGCAACCGAACCAGACATTCTGACCGAAACCTTTTTGGATGACAATCATCCTCTTGTATTTATCCAAAAGGATATCATTCCTAGATCAAGCCATCCAACGCCGCCTATCGGTCCGCAGTTCGAAGAGGTTAGGATAAGGAGTCACTGACTGATCGATGTTGCGGTTAAACGAATGTTTAACGGGACTAATTGCCGTTGTATTACGCGAACGTAAGCCGACCGGATGCTCGTGTCACTCACAACTGCATCTGTTTGTTCCTTTGTGCCTGTTGTATAAGGTACTTCCGGAGGACAAAACGCCTATTGTTCCATCACTATGTGCGAGCACAGCCCCCAAGACCTTTGGGATACCATTCATTTTATTCCAATAGCTTGGACGTCACTCAAGTTGTTGGCACTTTCTGCCTCGACCCCCGTTATTCCCTTTCATCCATCATCAGCTACCTTTTTTCTGGTGTGCAGTTTCACTGTCGTAGGACAAAGTCCAGCGCCCATCCTTTTGGGACTGGCTCACTACTTTAGGTCACCGGGCTTAGGTTTTCGACCATCACGACTAAGCAGTAGACCCTCCTGACTTATGTTTCGCCCCTTCCACTGTGTCTAGTAAAACACGCAGTAGGTTTTTCTTCCCTTCTCACTGTTCCTTCCCATTTCGCCAAAGTTTCTCCGACAATTAACAACTGTGGTGCTTGATATTCTAAATTGTTCTACCAGTTGGCCAAAAATTTCCAATTTCTGGTTTTATTTGTCTGACGTCATCATCATCATCATCGTGCAGTGAGATACAGTGAAGCGAACTTCACTGGTCGCTCTCTGATGTGTTACCTCCCATAAATCACCTCTACCATGCACTTTTCTGTATTGCGTAATGACATATAATGTGGACGGCCGGATGAGAGCACTTAAAGTTAAAGCTCCCATTTTTATTCAGTCCTCGTTACCCCGTGAACTTGAATCATTTGACTTCTAGGTTTATGTTCTTACTGAACTCTACCGGGTTAGGACATTTATGCTTTCGTTTGGCCCTGTCCCGCTCATGGGCTGTGAACACTGAGTCCGCGCCAACGTATGCAATGGACAGTCTGGTGGATCACTTTGACCACTTCTCTTCTCCTGATTTGTTCGAGTACGCCCTTACTGGTTGGCTTTTAGCCAAACTAATCCGAGTGGCGCATCCAGTTGTGCCCCGAGGTTGGTCAACACCGGACCTGTGGGAGTTGTGTGTGGGATTGTGGTGTTTCGACACGCTGCGTCGACTGCAGTGCAACGCACACGCGATTACCGAGGTCCAAGAAGATCTCTCAGATGTGGAGTCGATCAGCACTGTTCGTCGTCTGAGTCAAATGCGAATAGCTACTGGCCTGTTCCCCAGTGTGAGCATGTTGAATCATTCGTGTGAACCGTCAGTGGTTAATGATTTTCATGTGAGTTGTGAAATTATCTTTTTCCATATCCTAATGGATGCACTGTTTTTCCACTTCGTCTTTCGGTTGCTGAAAAGTAACGCTCAATATAAGGCGCAATCTCTCACCAAAGTGTTTCTCATTGGTTTGGTTTGGCGACTGGTATCTTATTGACTGCTTAAACTGTCTACCTGAAGTGTTTGCAGCACAATAAGTGAACTGTGTTTCTGTGACCTCAGCGCTTATTTTAACACCAAAATCTAATTGTTCTTTGCTGCAGGTGATCCAGTAGCCACATTCGTGTAGACCTGTGGTTTTCTCAGTCTGAACATTGAAATAGCTCACTACTAACACGGGATTTTCCGATTAAGCTGTTTCTATCATTGAAGGGGGAAATGTGAAACTCGGAAGAGAAAAGCAGTCAGTGGACATGGGAAAAGCGTCCCTACAACGAAGCTTAGCGCATGGGAATGTCATCCTAGGTCAACTTTAAGGTAACCCAGAAGGAAGCAGGCAACTATACAAGAACATCCTGCAATTTGTGGCGAACCATAAGGATAATGTTAGGAGAATAAAATCACATGGCTGTCGATATCGCTTCCACGACTAGAAAGCAGGACCGGCACAAAAAAGCGGGTGTATCGCTCGTCACTGTGTGACTAAAAAACAGTGGGACGTAACTACACTGCGCATCATGCATCGTCTTGCTTTGTAATTAGGATTTAGCTGTTCATCAAAAACATCCGCGTGGCACGGCTTTTAATTCAATCAATACACGTTTATCCACCTGCCCGCCGTTTCTGTCAAAACTGCACTTGAAGAAGTCGAATTATTACTGTTCTTGTTGGGTTCCGGTAGGAGTCAACTACTTATCATTGAATTAATTGACAATGACGGGTGTATTGGATGTGAAATTACCCCCTGTCTAAGATTTCAATCACATTTTATTGGAGTTTATGGTAATCCAAATCAGAACACAAGAAAACCGAAAGCATCCGCAAGACTCTGATGAGACAGAAACGAAATGGCCATGTCAATCAGAGGGATAATGGGAATTCGGAATTTGACCTTCAATGTCGACCGATGGCGTGAATTCAAGCCAGACAGTTTGAACAGCAGAAAACCGTTTGTCAATTAGGCTTCATTCGTATGGAGCACAATAAAGTTCTATAAAACATGTCGAAGCGGTTTTCCAAGCTCCCCAATTTTTGTATTCCCGACCACTTAGACATCATTTTGCATAACTTATCGGGTTGTAGGGATTTTCGGAATTGATAACCGCATATATGGTTCAATATAATGCTCATTTCATTACTTAATAGCATTGTGTTCTGTTGTTGATGTTAGGGAAATCTCTGAACTGGATGGTTCGTCGTTAGGCTAAGCACCATTATCAGTACTAATTCGGGTAAGCGCTAGTCTTTAAACTCGCACAGCACTGTCGAAATAATGGACGATACTTCGTATTCCAATCCTGGGCGATTGACACCCGTTCATAATGTGGCGTTATTTTTTCACTTTTTCCTTCGCTTCGTTGTTTAATGTCGAATCTGAAATCGCGGTTACCCGTTGTGATATTACCGAATTGTGTCACTACTTATTACTACTTGAAAATTGATTGATCCGTCAGAGAAGACAGATTTTCGAATTCTCGCGCAACCTGCATTCTTTCATTGTAATCATGTAGGGTCATCACATTTTACATTTCTAACCTTTATAAACAAGGTGCCTGCGTTTTCCTCCCGATGTAAGGAGAAGTCTTCACACTTCATTGGACAGCAGCCACCCAACCAATTTGGGCAGACCCCAACCAATGAGGTACTGTCCCGTCCATTGTTCGCTAGTTTCGTTGGTCGTATTATGCTTAGAGCCCATCCCTAACAGTACACCATCAATCATCGCAACGCACCAGAAGACAAAACGCTGCACTGGAACCCGAAGGCGTTGTGACCTGTCTTTAGATGATTCTGTTCAGTACCTGAATCACACCTGCATTAGATCTTCGCCCCACAACTTGAACTGAAGGTTCCGGTTAGGGTTACCAAGGAAAAATCCCTGTGCCGGTGTTGCCTTATCGCGGAATATATCGTGCTCTAAGGTTTCAGGCACCCATTTGGCGAGCCTTCTTTTTTATGTTTAGTTCTTTCGCTCACTCCCAAATCATATGAGATGCATCCAGTCTAGTTCAAAATTGCATATGATCAACATAAGCTTTTGAGTAGTTTTCGTCAGTTTACGGATCTCTCAACCACTACTTGATACTTGGATCAACTACTGTTGTGTTGTTCGGCAGCCCTATGATTGGCCGCTTTCCTCTTTCCATTATTCATTCTATTCTATTATTCATTGAAACGAAGTGAAAAAGAAAAGAATAATACATGAACCGGAAGATGACCATGATGATGACACGTTTTTCCAATATTTGCATTTTTACTTCCTTTAACTGATATACAGTTTCAATAAGTGGGAAGTGGCCAATCAAAGGGCTTTCATATAATACATATTGTCAGTGAATCCGAGTAGCCAATAGGCACTTAATGCAAAGGTAATAGACTGATAGGTTGATTGAACAATGAACAATGAAACTGCAAAGGATACAATGGATCACATTGTACGTCGGAAGTGAATCCTTTCCTTCTGTATTGTTCTACCAAATGGATATAGGAAGGGCAGAAACTGATATCAGTGTATGTTCGTAGTTTTTAAACTGAAACCAAGTACAGTTACCAATGCTGTTCTCCTCTATGTGAATAACGTTCTCCGAAACACTGAACCTCCGAATCTGGAATGATTATATTTCAATCCATTAAATAAATGATTTGATACGCATAAAGTTAATATTCAAATCTGTCGCGGAATCTGCTTTGTATGTGCGAATAAACTTAGATTTGAAGTTATCATAACCCAATCAAATGACTTATTCAATAACGTCACACATACCCTCAGTTTCATCCATTATCATCGTTCTTTTACCAGGTAAAACTAGTGCAACAGTGAAACGCATACTACCGATTGGTTGGCTGAATAATTTGAATGCACTTTAATTTCTCCCAACAGGCTTTTCGCATTGTGTAAATTCCCTAGCGAATTTAAAGTAAATGCCATTTGTTAGAGAAACTGTTGAATAGTTGTAGCTCGGGATGCACAATTTGGTTTGGGAGGGTCTTGCTACTTGGAAGTGTTGTGTTGCAGACACTTCGTACCAATGCTATTGCTTAGCCTAAATGGGGAGCGTTTCCAAACAAAACTTTCAGCGGGAGAAACACCAAAATACCATTTGTAATCATTAGCTTGTTTATAAAGAATGATTACCATTTTCTTCCTCAATATCGACACGATGGGATTCCTTCAACCGATTATTAACTCGGAAACCACTTGCTATCCTTCGGTTATTTTATGTTTGTTCATGCAACTTCCCCCTAATAGCCTGGATCTCAATGTGATTGAAAATCGGTTTTCTGTTTTGAAGAGATGTCAATGTGCTACCTGTACATTGGACATTTAAGGCAAAAGTGCGATACGTAATGGAGCACAAAATAAAACATGGCTTCGTAACAAAGTTGGTGGATTTGATGCCGACGAGACTCAAAAAAGTCCTAAAGAACAAAGGCAAACTAATTGATTAATAATGCACACAAATTTTATATCTAAATTATTATCAATGTTAATTTTTTGTAAATAAAAACTGTTCTGTTCTCTTTAGTTACCTCTGAAATCATCATGACTTAGGTCAACCACTACTGACGAAATGGGAGTATTCAGTACATTCTGAACCACTCCACCTACTGAGTACAAAGGAATCAGGAAAATCATGACTATAAAGACTCACCAAGGCTTGTTTATTATTATTTGTAAAAAAATTATTTCAGTATAAATGCTGTTGCCTATACGAACCCACAAGTGTTTCACAGAGACCCGTTGCTTACACACCTGTATATACCGACTGTTGTTTATTGTAGAACCACAGCTTACATAGGACAACAAATGACTGTTTTCTATGTGAGACTAAATTTACCGTTTACCGAATTTTCCATGCTGCAACTGTATTCGATTCCAAAGTGTGTTCATCTCAGACTGATTGTTTTGAATATCTCTTCACACTATCCACCCACCCACTCATCACCCCGTTACAGAACGGTTACATTATTTTGCGTTGTGTTAAACCCATTGGACCGGGTGATGAGGTTTTCAATTGTTATGGGCCGCACTATGAACATCATCCCGACGCGGCAAACCGTAAATCCCTGCTCCGGGAACAGTACTATTTCGAATGTGACTGTATGCATTGTACGAAGCCGGACTGTTCGGAGGCGCATGAACCCAGTGTAAAACAGACTGATGCTTGGCAAACTGCTCTGACTGTGGTGAGTAGTGCCCAGTGTTTCTTATCCTATGATTGTTTCCCTAGCCAGAACAACGATGCATGCATGTTCTATGCTTTCATATTATTAATGGTCGCTTCATACTGAAACGTACGTATGACCGATTGGAAGCACGAATACACGAATCATTAAGGAATCACTTAAAGTTGTGAAGGCTGCATTCGAGTGTCGAGCTGAGGTTGATGATATTTAGTCTTATCAACTCTCCCTCCTCATGAAGAAACTACACCTTGACATGGTGTGATTATTTGTGCATCTCTATTACCCGAAGAGTCAAAGTTTAGTGTCCTTATCCTCCAGGCTAGAAATGAACTCTCAATCACTGAAAAAGATGAAGGAAAAATTGATTAAAAGGAATGGGTCTCCACTTCACTTCACCTGTGGCCTTGCGGTTAGATTCTTGTCAGAAATACAGACTTTCGTGTAGAACATTAATAATTTTCTCTTGCCGTACCGGTCCATCAAACTTCAATGCCTACACGAGATATACAAATTTCCCAACTGTACTTTTCGTCGCACAGGATAATCAGGATCGCGCTGCACGTTGCATCCGTCGGAGTGGACAGTGATGCGTGGATTAATGCTCAAATATCCCAGCCTTTTTCGAATCTGTTTTCCATACCCAGCCTCTCCGTTAGCCCTTTCTTCCGATCCATAACATTCCGTCAAGAAGCTTGTTTACCTTTGACCAAAGCGCGTTACAAAATGGCAGTGTAGATAGTTTACCAATAATTAACTTGCAGATTCTGTAACGTTGTGAGGTTCTACTCATTCTTAGGAGTAGTATCTTTAGTGTACGCTTAAAGAAGGGATTACTGGATTTTCACAACATCTACGAGTGGAATAAAGTATTATTCTGTTGTACCCATAGGAGAGACTGACTGGCTGATGGTCACCAACGAAGAGATGTTCAAGAGAATCCCAACCAACTGTTGAAAATCATATGTTTCTCTCTGGCTGATGTTATCCATATCTATCATATAATGTTCTCTTAAGTAATAACTCTCCTCGACCTGGCACCGCCTCTTTGAATTATAATATAGTGACTACAAATTGAGGATTCTGATACCGGCTTGTCTGGTGCGTATGGTGGACTCCCCCCAATCGATGTTTGCTGTTTACCAGAGACGCAACTTTAGTGCGTCGAATTTGCCCTCGAGGTGCTTCCTTCACACACCAGGCCACGACGAAGCTGGCTTGGCGAGTCAACGTGGAGTAGGTATTGTACTCAATAATAGAGCTGAAGCCTCACTAATTGACTGGATCCTCATCAACATTTAGTAGTGTGCACTGCAGCTCCAGGGGTCAGTCACCGTCCGGAAGGGAAAAAGAGTCAAAAGTTTTTGCTCATTATCTCAGCATATGTGCCCATTGACCCCAGTTACGATGCACGAAGGATGATTACTACTACAAGCTCGCAGAAATGATTCGGTTGGGCCGGAGTTCCGAGTTGTGCTGGCAGGTGATTTTAACGCGCAAGTTGGAAAATTGAGCTCATCGGAAGACGACCTAGGTGGTCATTGNCGAACGAATAACGGCGATCGACTTTTTCAGTCCTGCCAAGACCTCCGTTTGCTTTTGTCCGGCACGAACTTCCAACATAGCTCCCAGCGGATAGCAACTTAGTGCCCCAACTGCTAAGCTGGCTTAAGTCGACCGTATAGCAGTAGGCTACCGTTGACGTGGCTCAGTAAAATACTGCAGGTTCTATTGGACTACCTGCGTTGAGTCTAATCACGCATTGGTTTTGATATACTTCGCTCTTTGACTCACTGGTTACCCGACAAAACCAGCAAACGCAGATAGCACATCCTACCTTGTCTTATCCAGCCGTTCGTGCCCGCTATGAATCAGAACTAGGGCATGGGCTAGGCGCGCTGCATTCTGATGGTATATATAACAATGATGTCAGATTAGACGAACACTAAACTCAGCAGCGAACGTTGTTTGCGGATTTGAGCCTGAAGAACGCTCAAGCCATTGGATACCTCGCAGGTTAGTAGTAATGACGGAGACAGATTGGATGTAGAGCAGTCTTGCTTCGAAAATAGGTAGTTTGTCATTGGTTGCAGTCATCTGTCTCCCTTACTTAGGCAGTTGCTCGACTATTGACACAGTAATGAAAATAATCACTCGAGCAGCCTACGCAAGATTGGAGCGTGATTGGCGACAACGATACGTTTAAATACTGTTGAGTAACCCCATATATTGTGCTACCGTTTGTTTAGTTCTACTTTGTGGTTGTGAGACCCTGAATTTTCGAGTAGAAGACATCCATCACCCGGTTTTCGACAAACGATGCCTACGTATTCTGGCACAGGTGAAGTGAGTTGAGTTAGTAACCAAGAGATAAACACTCGTGCGTCTGGGAATGTGCCGAAGACAAATTCACTATTGCATCGAATTCAGCTCAACAATACCATGGTTAGACGGACTTCCTGTTCGGACGAAGCTCACAAAACCCATCAGACAGCGCACGAAGCCGCGTCACAGCACAAGCACGCTTGCGACACCCAAGGCAAGTCCCGTCCGGATTGGGTAAGCGTAGAACGAATCAGACAGTCGTTGTCCGATCGACCAATCAGTGTCGAGAACGCAGTCTGATTAGTGCGTCAATATGTCGTTTTTGTAT